TTTATTTGGCAAATAGTGTTCAAATATGGACTAATTAGGCTTAAAACGTTCGTCTCGCAATTTCCCATCAAACTGTGCAATTAGTTTTTATTTTCGTCTACATTTAATGCTCCATGCATGAGCCATAAATATTCGATGTGGCAGGTACTGTAGCAACTTTTTGAACTTAGGGTCCAACTAAACGAGGCTTAAGATGGGCTCCGCGGACGCTCGAACGCAAGGTTTTTACAGTCTGTGATTCTTCCTGTGCCCTCCAATCCAACCGCGTCCTTGGCTGCTCCACTGCTACAGTATATATACAGGCACAGACACGGTTGCCTGCAGACGGGAGCAGGGGAGTTAGTGTGGTAGATGGGGGTGCCGGTGTTGGTGGAGGCTGTAATGGTGGTGGTGGTTGTTGAGACGGCAGATGCGAGCGCCAAAGCCACTGCCACTGACGTGTGTGCGCCCCTGTGCACGCACATGCCCAGCTCGCGCGACGGTGATCGATCAGCGGAGAACTGGAGCCTGGAGGAGGAGCAGGAGGGCCGGGCAGTGGCCGCAGGGCGGCGATGAAGTGAAGTGAGTGATCGGACGTGCCATCGCACATGTGACGAAGGGCTGCGCCGTGGGCCATGCCGCGCCAAGCTGTGCGGCGCGATAGCTCCTGGCACGTCAGCGGCCATGGTATGTGGAAGTGCCACGTCATCGCCGCTGCCGGCGCGGTAGCCTGGTTTGCCCACGCCGTGGCAATAGTCGCGACCAAAAGTGTTAGATTTGAAAAAAAAAATAGTGTTAGAATTAAAAATAGTTAAAAAAATGTTAAAAATAAAAAAAATCCTTCTGGCGTGCCATGCCTCCAATGAATCAGTCCAGCTCTACTAGTTATCTCGGTGGGTCAGGGCGCAGGGGTAAGCTTATCATTTTTGTAATAGAAATAATATTTCTTCCCCTCTAGCCACAGTAAAACAATTGTAACTGAACATATCTCTTTGTGATGATGGATTTGTATGCTAATCATATCATATTAGGCCCATCCCTTTATGCAATACTGAATGTAATACAAAGCATGGCTTCCATCTTGCAGGTACCTGGAGAAGAAAGAACCAGAGGCTCAGCAATGAAAAGAGTGGAGTGTATAGGCCTGCATTCACCTTCTCAATCAATGACAATAAGAGTGATCTGCCGCTGCAGTTTTTTTTTTTTTTTTTTTTTGGAAACGAAGCCGCTGCAGTTTTGAATCCTCACTCTGGCAGACAAATCCCAGAAAACCTCTTCTATAGTTATATATGCCATATATGCCGTGTTACAGTGCTTTCCCCCCCATCATGCTATGGTCGGTGCTCCTATTGCAGAATCTCACTTCACTTATGATCAGAGTTCGTGTCTCGTTTTTCTTTCTAATTTGATGGTTGTAAAACACACACATCACATGCGTTTGAAAATGGTGATCCCAGATTCTGTACCCTCATATCGATGTTCGCCACTCCTTCCCTACCACACATATATACAGGTGATGAGTTTTGCCGTCAGACAGTTCATCATCCTGTATGCAGCCTGTATCTGGTCGACACCTTGCTGCCATATAATCATGCCTTTCTGGAAAGAAAAGTCACACATCCATTTCCCCCAGCCCCAAACAATTGTGGTGGTGGAAACGAACCGACCCTAAAGGTTGTGCAAGGGATGCGGTGCGAGGCTGGAGCTCTGGATCCATTGGGCGCCCCGTCCGTTTCAGGCTGTGCGGCCACTCCTGCCCTTGCAGTTGCAGCTCGTCTCCGTTAATCACGAAAGGGACAGGACCCGGGCCCCTGTGATGTGAAAGCGTTGTGAGCGGCGGTGCCAGCCGAGCCGATTCGTGTGTGATGGCCCAGCCCAACTTGTGTGCTGCCTTGCGAGTTGCGACGTTGTCACGTTGCTTCGGTGTCGGCGTTTGGGGGTGACTAGCTGTAGATAGTAGATCCTATGCCTATTCGCATTCGCCGTCGCCCCACATGGACGTCGGTGTCCCTAGCAAAGTTGCAGGAGCAACCTGGGAGTGAGAAGGTGGCAGTTGTGGCACCGGCTGTTGCCTGTTGGTGTTGGACTGTTGGTCCAAGCATGTAACGGGCCTTTTTGGTCCGATGTCTGTCAAAAAGGTTGTCTCGAAAATTCGATGAAATCTACGTGACCAAATAAGTTGAGGGTCTTTGAATGCCAGAGACGCCAAATGAAAGAGGACAATATATTTTTCTTATCCAATGTAGAGATAAGTGGATAGTTTTTTTTTTCATAATCGCTGAAATTTGGCTTTATGCTGATGCTTATGCTGATTTGTTGTGAGAGTAAAACACTATTTGTTCGCTGAAGAGTACTACTGAAGTAGTTCAAGCGAACAAAGCCGAAACACCTTTGATTTAATAAATAATACAAGGATAAAATATTGTTTCAATAAGCAGTATAAAAAGAGTCATAATCTAGATTCCAAAATGAACTTTAATACAGATGAATGGTAAACGATCATTTCCCTGCCCCGACAAACTTTGTTTGTGGGCAGTAAAAACAGTACATCAGCTACGATAAAAGAATCAGTACAGAGCAGTGAATTAATACAAATCAGCACAATTCATCATTACATGCTCCGGCAACCTTCACAGCCATCAAGAGCAGAGGGGGGCTAGGGCGCTCCAGCCCCCTTATAGCTGGTGCATCAATGAAAGTATAGGGAGGGTGAGGGAGAAGAAGAGGTTGATGAAAGAAGAAAAATAGAGAAAGAGAGGAAGAAGAAGAGACTAGCCCCCTTTCAATCCTGTTCTGCATCCGCCACTGTCCAAGAGTATACTCTATTCATTCAAAAAAAAATATAAGATTTATACCGGTCAAACTTTTTAAGTTTAACTAACTTTATAAAATAAACTAGCAATATTTGTATCTTAAAATAAGTTTATATTATAAAAATACGTTAATTAGTTCATCTAATAATACTAAATACGCATTATAAATACCAATATTTTATTATTTTTTTATCGAAATTGAAAATGTTTTGATTTCTTCCTCCTCGGTCCCATACTACGAGGGAAAACCTGTCACGGTCATAGCCGAGCACAGCCAGGGCCGGCTCTATAAATTTTATGGCCCTTGGGCAATACGAAAGCAAGGGTCCTTTAGGCTAAATTTTCCCCCACTTCTATGATCATGAGAAGTCATACACTAGTACTAGTATGAGGTAGATAGGGGCATGTATATATAGTTCATAAAACACAATGTTTATACAAATAGAAGAAATATCTTCTGGCATTTCTAGATGCAAAATCATTGAGAGCAATGTTGAGATCAATGTTATCCAAGACATCCTTCTCAGTACAACACATAGTGCTTAGACCTAAAATTACGACAGAAAGTAAATAATAGGATAGAATTTTAGAGAAACATCACTAACATGGTTACAAACAGGGGCGGATCCAAATGGGGGGGGGCTTGAGCCCTCTACCCATACCGGAGCAGTGGAACCCCTGAAGCCCTATGAATTTTTAGGCAAAGTTCTATAGTGTAGGTGGGGCTGAGACTTAAGATCGAGCAACAATCGGAGGTATGTGTTGTTCAGTCCCCTTAAAATTTTTTCTGGATCCACCGCTGGCTACAAATGGTATATAAGTAGATGAGAAATTTGAGATAGATAGATAAAAAATTCAAAATTCAGATCATGGTCAAACATAGAAGTAGTGAGGTGTTACTTATGCGGTAATTCGGGGAGAGTGTCGACAAGTCGCCGCGCCGCTCTCTGCAAGGAGGCACCGCATTTCCTGCTGCTGAACAAAGTATGTACAATATAATATACATATATAACATATACTCATATTTTTTTTAGACAATAACATATACTCATATACATATACATGAAATTTTTTGGGCCCCCCGATGGCTTGGGCCCTTGGCGGTCGCTCCGGCCGCCTAGGCTCAGAGCCGGGCCTGAGCAGAGCACGTCGGCATCACTGCTATGGGCTGTCGCGACGCCCCTCTCCGAGTCTCCGAGACGTCGTCACGGCGACAGGACCTCTCCTTCTCTCGCTACGGCGACGACAGCGACGCAGCGGGCCGGGACCCAAGCGCGCACCCACAGGCCACAGACCCCACATCCGTCCGCCAGCCTCGCGATTCGTGTCCCGCGCCACGCTCCCTCCTCCTCTCCGTCTCCTCTCCTACCGCGTCGACACGGCGATACCCCCGCGGCAGTCGGCACCCACCCCACCCAAATTTCCGTTTCTCGTTCTCTCCCCCCACCCCGACCCCTTCCAGAACCAACCGAACCGAAGCCGGCTAACGCGACCGAGGATGCGGAAACGGGTGGAGGAAAAGGGCAAAGTCGCCCCCCGCCGCCAGCCGCCTCCGATCGGTCGGTGAGCCCGATGCGCTGTCCCGCTCGGCGCCGTCGTGTACCTCCGCGTTGATCTCCGCCTCGCGCCACGCCCGATTCGAGAGGAATCGCTTCGGTTTGGCCGGCCGGTAGGTTGGTCGGTTGGGATTCTTCTCATTTCTTTTCATACTTGCCAACAAGAACTCGACACCGAGTCGCCCGCACCTACCATGTGCTGCTGAGTTCGTTGGGGCCGTGTGGAGCCGCTGTTAATTTCGCTGCTCCTGGCAGGCAGGTGCGGGGGTTCAGGAGGCGCGGGGTCTCGGCGGCTGCAATGCAGGTTCGCATCTCGTGCCGGCGTTTCATCGGTTCGGTTCGTTTGTTTTCCGGCTTGTTGCGCTGAAATTGTGCGATTTGTTTCTTGATTCAAGGACTACTAGGGGCCGGTGCATTCCTGCGAGGTGGCTGTGGCTGTCTGGGCTGTATGATAGGTATGGGATTCTTTTAGTTCCCACACATAAGGACCATAGTTCCTTGCGGATTTCTATTGTTGCTGTATGAAAGTAGTGATTTTTTGTGCAGAAACTGAAATCTTGCGCGGTTGTTTCGTGGATGCAAAAACCAGTGGGCGCTGGCGGTTGTACCGTCTCAGCTAGCTCCGGACCTGTCTTGGCCTAGCGGGAAATTGATGGAGCACAAGAAAGCTAGAGCAGTGGAGGATCCTGCCTGGTTAATTTGCGACGATGCCCTCACTGAGGTCTTCCGCAGGCTGCCTGCCCGTGCACTCGCGGCTTGCAGACTGGTGTGCAAGTCATGGATGTCCGTGCTCACAGATCCACACTTCATCCATGAGCACCTGAGCCGCGGCCAGCAGAAGCTGCTGCTCTTTGCGAACGACCGGGCAAATGATAGGTCGCTCGCCATGGTGCTCGCAGACGACAACAAGTCCATGTACCAGCTGTCGAGGCCTGTGGCGTCTCGGAGCGTCTTTGTGCACAATTCTTGCAATGGTCTGCTGTGCCTAGGTGACAGCACAGGAGCTGTGGAGGTTCTGAACCCGACGACCGGTGAATCTTTAATGTTGCCGATGCCAATGTACACGGCAGGGAGCAGCCAGTTCTCATCCTGTAATTGGCACTGCTTGGGGTTTTGCCCACAAAAAAGGGAACACAAGGTTGTGCATTTCTATCCAGGAGCTCACATTGATTCGTTCAAGGTACAATGTGAGATATACACAATTGGAGCTGGTGTCTGGAGACAAGTTGGGAGCTTTCATGGGGCTCCGACGGACAGAGGGGTGCATGTTAATGGGATGGTGTACTATCTGACAAAGTTCCGCTACATTGCTTCATCGCGTATCAACTGCTTGAATCTTGAGAGTGAAAAAATTGATGTGATGATGCTTCCCCCGCGCAAATCTTATGGAGGCCATTGCTCTTTGACAGAGCTTGAGGGAAGGCTATGCTTGTTGATTGTGGATGGTGCACTGGAAGGCCCGCCTCGTACAATGGACATCCTGATGCTCAATAGCCATGATAAGCAGGACTGGACTCCCAGATACCACTTCACCTTGCCTTGGTTGATGCCTTCATGTTATTTTACTCCGAAACACACTCTCTTCCATGATGGAAAAATTTGGGTGCAGTTGTTGGCTAGGAATCTATACTGTTTTGACCCAAGTTCAAGTTCAGAAGAACTGACAAAAGCCTGGCCAGAGCTTGACTTTTCATTTAGCACACATACTTTCATTGAGAGCATAGTTCCACTGCGTAAAGACTACTACTTCAAGCAGATACAATGACAGACTGACAGTGGTGTTCTGCCCCTTGCTTTCAAGGTGGTTTTCAGTTTACATCATTACATTGTCTTATTATTTCTTTTTTCTTATATGAACGACCAAGCTGTTACATGTTAGTCAGCTTAAGATGGTGTGTGTTCTGGATTCTAATTAGTTATAATGATTGCAATTTCCAAACATCTTAACTACTCATTCTTCTAGATTCTAATTGATCTCTTTATGCTGAGAAGTTGATAGGCCAAGTTGAGAGGAGCATTTCATTAGTTCTTATTTCATAGCTTAGGTGATTATTGATGTAAACACTGAACCTGTTTTTATACTGCCTCCAAAAAATTTCTTATAATCTGGTGGTTTGTAAATTAAAAATTCTATGAATACCCTGTGATGTTTTCTGCTACACTTCAACAATTCGTGTTGATAACAAATTTTCTAGCTGTGCCTGTTAAAAAGTCTATGAATACCATGCTTCTGATGAAATTAGTATTTGCATGGAAATATTTCCATTCTAGGTAGATGAAGTCCAGTACCCGTAAATAGTATCTGAAGAATTGTTGGCTGGCTGCATCATTTGCTGTGATGCACATACAGTTACTTCATTGGAGTATTCTTTACAAACATGAAAAAAAATATTTTCTGTAATTGCGGTAGGTTTGTTCTCGTTTTCCTTATGAGCTTTTGATTACTTCCTTGAGTCAGATGTGCTTTGATAAGATTCCTGATCCTACCAGCGACGTTGCGTAGTTTGTATGGGTGTGAGGGAGGAGGAGCAGGCCGCGTTCCTCGCTGCCGGCGGCTGGGCGCCGTCGCGAGGTTGTAGGCGAGGAAGATGACAGGGGGCGGCTAGGGCAAATCCCGGCTCCCTGGGGGAAGCCGGAAACAATTAAGATTGTTTCTGCTTAATCCTCAATAATCCCAATTACAATAATTTATACTCAAAAATATCCTTTTACGAAATAACCCTCAAGCTAATAGGTAAATATTAATTCATTATAAACAATAACTAAACGGGCCTATTCAGCCACTATTGGACCGGTTATGCCTCTTATATCAGATACCGGTCATAACATCTCTTCCTCCTCGAAAGCAAACAAATTTCGTCCTCAGCCGGACCTCGAGATATTGCTCCTTGAATTCTTCCAGCGGCTCCCATGTCGCATCATCCACTGGAAGCCCCTGCCACTGGACAAGAACGCGCCACTCGCCGCGACGGAGTTGAGCGCGCGACACCGCTCGCCAGCGCTTGCTGAGCGGCGGCCATCTGTCATCGGTGGAAGAGTAATCGAGCAATGGGAGCTCTGTAGGCCTTGAGCCGACCGACATGGAATACGCTGAAGGCGGCGCGCCGGCGAAAGTTGCGACGGTATGCCACCGGCCCGACGCGCTCGAGCACCATGAACGGCCCAGTGTAGCGTGGGCGGAGCTTGCCCTTGGAGTGCGCGACGAGGACCTGCATAGGACGGTGGAGGAGGCGCAATAGCACCAAGGCGCCCACCGCGAAGGACACGTCGCGCGATGATGCTCGCCATAGTACCGCTTTGGCGTCTTCTGCGTACTGAAGGAGACGCCCCGGACCTCCGAGAACGCGTCGCGATCGCGGCATCGTGTCGACCGCTTTGAAGTCGAGCCTCCCCATCTTTGGAAGCGGAAGGAGGGCGGTGGGGGCGCCATAGACCACCTCGAACGGCGTTGCCCGGAGCGCCGTCTGGAAGGACGTGTTGTAGCAGTACTCCGCCCAAGAAAGCGAGTCGACCCAGGAGCGAGGACGATCCCCGGTGACGCAGTGAAGGTACATCACGATGATTCGGTTGACCACCTCGGACTGCCCATCCGTCTGTGGATGGAAAGCCGTACTCAAGCACTGCTTCACGCTGAAAGCTTAAAGAGATCACGCCATAAATTGCTTTGGTGAAGACGGGGTCGCGGTCACGACGACGATGGAGGTGGGGAAGCCGTGGGGCGCACAATGCCATCGAAGAATGCACGTGCCACCGACGCGCCGCCGTGTAGGGGTGGCCGAGGGCGATGAAGTCGCGTGCTTGGAGAACCGATCAACCACCGTTAGGATGACCGATTTGCCATGCACCTTGGGAGGCCATCGACGAAGTCCATAGCGATGTCCGCCCACACTGCGATGGAACGACCAAGGGCTAGAAACAACCCCGGCCGGGTGCGTTGTCGGCGTCTTGTTCGGCCGCACGCGGTCGCAAGAGCGGGACGCAGATCCCGCACCAAGACGCGGTCACCTGGGAAGTAGAAGTCTTGGCGGAGACGAACAAGGGTCTTCTGTATGCCCTCATGGCCGGCCTTGTGTGCCAGCGCCACCACCTGGGGACGTAGGTCGCCATGTGCCGGGATGAAGACACGCTTGCCGTGGAGCAGCAGACCGTCCTCGGCGCGCCACGACGCATCCAAATACCACCGGTCATCACCGGAGGAGTTCACCGGCCTCCTCGGTCCAGCCGCCAATGCCGCCCTGATGTCGTCGTAGAGACGGAAGGAGGGCCCGGACACAGCCATCGCCGTGGGGCCGTCCTTGTCACGGCGGGAGAGCGCATCGGCGGCGGTGTTGAGGCGCCCCGGCCGGTACTCAACGGTGAAGTCGAACCCGAACAACTTGCTGAGCCACTGATGTTGAGGAACAGTGGACAACCGTTGATCGAGGAGGAACTTCAAGCTGTAGTGGTCGGTGCGGACGAGGAAGCGGCGGCCCTAGAGGTACGGCCGCCAATGGCGCATGACTGGACCAAGCCGATGAGCTCGCGCTCGTAAGCCGCCAGCTTGATGTGACGGGCAGCGAACGACCGACTCAAGAAGGCCAGGGACCCACCTGGTGCGCAAGACCGCCAAGCCGGCCGGTCTTGGGCGGCGTCGCGATCGACCACGAATCGGTGATCAAAGTCCGCATCTCGCAACACGGTAGCCGATGATAAAGCGCGCTTGAGGTCGGAGAACGCCTCGTCGGCCGCCTCATCGAGCGACGCGCCTTGCGCAGAGACGATGTGAGGGGCGCAGCGATGGAGCCGAAATCCTTAATGAACTTTCTGTAGTAGCCGGCCAGCCCCAAGAAGCCCCGTACGCCGCGGGGTGAGCGGGGGGCCGGCCAAGCTGCGACCGCCTCCACCTTGTCGCTGTCCATGGCGACGCCGTCTTTGGAGATGACGTGGCCCAAGTAGGCCACGGAGGAGGCGCCGAAGGAGCACTTGGACCTCTTGAGAAAGAGACCATGCGCGCGAAGGGCGCTGAGGACGAGGCCGACGTGCTGGAGGTGTGCTGCCCATGATGTACTGTAGATGAGAATGTCATCAAAGAAAACCAGCACAAACCTGCGGAGGAATGGGCGAAGGACGTCGTTCATCAGCGCCTGGAAGGTTGTCGGCGCATTGCAGAGGCCAAACGGCATGACCAGGAACTCGAAGTGCCCCTGGTGAGTGCGGAACGCTGTCTTAGCGATGTCCTCATGGTGCATGCGCACCTGATGATAGCCCGAGCGGAGGTCAAGCTTGGTGAAGTACTTGGCGCCGTGGAGTTCATCGAGAAGCTCGTCGACCACCGGAATCGGGAACTTGTCCTTTGATGTTTTATCGTTGAGAGCCCTGTAGTCGCGCGAACGCCAGAGACATCCGCCTTCGACCGTAGGACCGGGCGAAGAATGGGGACGTAGAGGGCGGATGATGCCTGTTCCAAAGATGATGGCGCATTGACGCCGAGCTCATCCTTCTGCAATTTGTGGATACCAGACGGCCCGACCGCCACCGGTGCCGCGCTGCCGAAGGAGATGGATCCGATGGTCGATGGCCGCCGACGGCGGCAAGCCGCTGCTGCTCCTCAAAAACGGCGCCCGTCTTCTTTGTAGTAGTCTGTCCAAAGCAGGGCCGAGGCTGGTCGGTGCGTCCGTGACGCCAGCGTAGTGTTGAGGCACCGGTGGAGAGCCCTCGCCTTTGCCAAGTAATCGTCGGTTGTCCCATTGGAAGGACACCGTGTGGCCGCCAAAGTCCTGTGAGGGCCCCAAAGGTGCGCAAGAAGTCGACGCCGATGATGAAGTCGGCAGCCCAACGCGAGGCCGACGCGGTGACCGGGTACGAGGCGCCACCGATGGAGAGTGGAATGTCGCGGCTGATCCCCCTCGCCTGGCGCGCTCCCACCGGCGACGGTGACATGTGAGTTGCGCGGCGCCCGGGAAGAGAGCCCCAAACGGCGCATCACGTGGCCCCCGAGGAACGTGTCGCGGACCCGGTGTCCAAAGAAGGCGAGGAGTCGTTAAGCCTTCACGACACATGAGCGAGAGCATTACATTTTCCGTTCAATGCTGCGAGCATACATCGAGACAACAACAAGGGCATTAGCCATGGGCTCCTCTCCGCCGAGTAGCCGAATCCTCGGGTGCATGCCCCTTCGTCTTCGTGGTCGCGTGTTTCGCCGACGGTCTCGAGGTAGAAAAGGCGCTTGCACACGTGTCCCCGCGCATACTGCTCATCACAATTGAAGCAGAGACCCTGGCGTCGCCGCTCCAATTGTTCCGCCGTAGTCAGACGCCAAAAGCGCGGCTGGCCAGTGGCCGCAGGAGACAGGGCCGGCGGCTGGGTGGCAGGAGCCCCTCCCGTTGTTGGTGCAGCCATGGACGGCCGTGGTGGTGTTCGTCCACCCCGCTGCTGTGGCGGCTGCCGCGCAAGCATGAAAACCGCCAGCCTTGCGCCAAGGCCAGCCAAGGTACATCGCGGTCTCTGGTCGGTAGCGGTCTTTGCAACTCGATGTCCACCTGGATGTGCTCCGGAAGACCGCCGACGTAGAGCTCGGCCTTCTGCCGTGGGTTCAGATCACGCGCGTGGTAGAGAATCGCGTTGTAGCGGTTGGAGTACTCCTGTACCGAGGAAGTGAAGGGCAGCCGCACGAGTTGAGCGAGTCGTGTGCCCTGCGTTGGGGGCCCGAAGCAGAGTTGGCACAAGGCGCGAAAACGATCCCAAGCGGGCATGCCTTCATCCTGCTCCAGCGCGTAGTACCACGTCTAGGCGTCTCCGTGGAGGTGGTACGAGGCGAGCCAGGTCCGGTCCGAGTCCAGAGTTCGCTGTCCGCAGAAGAATTGATCACAGTGGTTCAACCAATTGAGTGGGTCGGCGCTGCCATCAAACGTCGGAAACTCCAGCTTGTAGAAACGCGGGGGCACGTGTGCTCCTTGGGCAGCTGCGGCGGCGGGAGCGCCACCCTCCATGGCGATAGCCACCGCTGCGTCGTTCCCGGAGGGCAGCGCAGCCGAGGATGGGGCGCCTCTGTAGTAGAGGTTACCCGCAGCGTCACCGTGAGAAGACGCCGGGGGAGAGGCGGGGACACATCCCCACCCGCAAAAGGCATGCGGTGGTGGCGCCGTCGGCGTGGAAGTAGCCATGGTGTAGATCGAGCGCGGCTGCGAGCCCGCCATCGCCCATGACGGGATTGGTGACGGCGGGCGGCCACGGGGAGCATGTGGAGGGGAGTCCGGTGCTCGGAAGCACCGGCGGAGACTCACACGGGCGGCACCACCACGGAATGATCTCTGTAAGGCGGCGGCGGCGGCGGGGAGGGTTAGTTGCGGCGGGGCGGTGGAGGCAATGACGGCTGGCGGAGGATGTTGCTTTGCGTGAGCCCGTCCCACGCGGCTGCATCGCCGCGATACTCCGGTTCATCACGGCCATATTCGCCGACATCTCGGCGACGACCTCGGCGAGGGAGTCCAGCGTGAGGGGCCGGGCACCCGAGGACGCGGGGGAGGCGGCCACAGAGGATACCGTCGACACGGCGGAGGAAGAGGCTCTGACAATGGAGGGGTTGGGGAAAAGCGATCATGGCAATGGAGGAGGAGGAGAGAACTCCGACATCAGCGATACCGAGTTGATAAGATTCTGATCCTACCAAATATGTTATGTAGTTTGTATGGGTGTGAGGAGGAGGAGGCGGCAGTGCGTTCCTCATTGCTTGCGTGGTGGGCGCCGTCAGCGAGGTTGTAGGCGAGGAAGATGACAGAGGCGGCTAGGGCAAATCCGGCTCCACAGGGAAGCCGGAAACAATTAAGATTGTTTCGCTTAATCCTCAATAATCCCAATTACAATAATTTATACTCAAAAATATCCTTTTACGAAATAACCCTCAAGCTAATAGGTAAATATTAATTCATTATAAACAATAACTAAACGGGCCTATTCAGCCACTATTGGACCGGTTGCGCCTCTTATACTGTATACCGGTCATAACAACTTTGCTTTCCAAAATTTTCTGCCCCAGATATCTTATTTAAAATAGATAGTATGGAGCACTGCCATTTATTCTGTTTTTCATGTTCGGGCCTGTTTGGAACACAGTTTTTTCATAGGAATTTTGGAGGTTTTCATTCCTCTGGAAAGAAAGCCTGTGACTGCGTTTGGAACGTAGGATTTGTAGTTTCCTTTCCGGAGGAAAGGCAGCAAGCTATGTGTGTTTCATGGGAAATAAAACATCCACCGTGACTCAAGGGAAAGCATCTTTCTCGTTCTTTTCTCCCGTCGCCTCTCTCTCTCTCTCTCTCTCTGACTCCTCCCTCCTGACATGGTGGTTGAACCCTAGAGAAATTTGGCGCGAACAAGCGGAGATGGCAAACCACCAACAGCGAATCAACCCATCCCCACGAAATCCCCTTCTCCCCGCTTCGTCTCTCCCTGCAGCTCCATCGGTGCAGGGGCTTGATGTCCACCAATCTGGGGGAAGTCAAGAAATCCACCAAGAACCAGGTACGATTTGATAATGATATGAGTTTCCTCTTCAGAAATAGTTTTATTTTGCCCTTGTTTTAGATCTGGATCCGAATTTGTGGATCCGGCAACACATGTTCTATTTAAAGATCTGATCTATGGAGTCCTTTTATCTTTTCCCTAAGTTTCTGTAATAGATGTTTTTTTAGAGAAATAATAGATGTTATTTTTGTGTGCGTGTAACTAGGAAGCAACAGCAACAACAACAACAAAGTCTTAAAGTCCCAAACAAGTTGGCACTCTCTCCAATTACTTATCAGTTAGCACAAGGAGGTAGCACTTACGTTTTGTTATATTATGCCTCTAGATTTTTTTTCTCCTGGTAGGATCTCTAATATCCGTTATTTAACTTATTTTAAAACTGGAATTTTCATCATGTTTGTCATAGGCACGTCAAAGAATAGAGCTAAGTGGGATCACCAGAAGAGGCTATATCTTATTGAACTATTAGAAATCCATGATGTGCCTATATTTCGGACACACAATGCATGGAGTAAGGAAGCTTGGACTGGTATTGTGGCTCAGTTCAATAAGAAATTTTCTTTGTCGTTCTCTATTGCACAAGTGAAACAAAAGGGAGCAGGATATGAAAAAGGAATATCGTGCCATAAAAAATTTGGTGGCAGAAAGTGGTTTTGGCTGGGATTCCGATAGAATGATGGTGATGGCACCACCAGATGTTTGGGCAGCAATGGAGGCACGCAGGAATAAGGATGCTCTGTTTTAGCAAGACAAGTCATTTCCGTACTATGATGATCTGTTTGCTTTATATGATGGTGAGTTGATATGAGCCTGATTAGTTATTATTTTCACTGGATGTGATTACAGTCCTTAAGACAACTCAAAATTTGTCATATTTTTTACAGGTCGTTATGTCGAAGGAAGTTGTCGTGGTATGGATCATTATGCCAATAAGGCAATATTGCCTTCACAAGTTTCTCCTGATGTGCACCTGCAGTCACCTTCACCTAGTATACCTGCCCCTGGTTCTTTCAGTTTTGATGCTGAAGAGGACAAGGATGATACTAATTGGTTTGGTAATGATGCATTTACTCCATTGGGAACTTTCATGCCTCAAGAAACACCAGATGAACCATCTTCCATAAATCTAGCACCACATGTTCCTGAACAATTTGAAGAAACTCTTCGTCACAGTTGATATGGCAGGGGCTGATCCCGATCTTTCGATGAGAGGATGGGGTAACTTCGATTTGAGGAAGGATTTGACGTTGGCTGTCCGACTACAACATCCAGCAGGGTTGCTGCGCCTTAGCAACAGGTACACTGACTCTGATTTGTTGTTGTTCTTGCCATGCCAAGAACAACCCTGAACCTGCAAGCAATCGAGAACAAGCAAGAACAAGATAAACAAGAAACAACTCATGGATCTGAATCAGGACACGAATTTGGGGTTCTGAATCAAGTAAATCGGGTGGTCTAGCCGACACACGCGTTTACAAGGAAGTGACTGAAGCTAAACTTGCATCTGAACAAAACCCACCCTCAAATGGCGGCTGCTACATGTCTTTTATAGTGGGAAACAACCAGGAGGCGTGGGAGGGTGGAAACCCTAAATTAGAATGGCCCCTAGTGGGCTTTACTTGATAAGTGGTTCTTAGCCCATGACTAGAGGTCCGAACGTCTTTTCATTGATTCTGCTCGTCTCCGGTGGAGTCTGGCCATGAGGTTGGATCCATTTGAAAATAGACATCAAGATCTTTGCAATGAGTACTCATGGGCCTTCAACAACATCCGGAGTCAAGAGTTATGATCAAATCAATCTGGTGCTGCTACGATGTCCAAACGTGCACTTCGAATGTTTAGTATGGTCTTCTTGTTGTTTACACCAGCATCCGCTTGATGGTTATCTTGATGACCTTGCACCCAGCTAGTTCCTTCCATCTTCCTAAGCATAAGGAAATCATCACAAGGATTTAGTAGTACCCCATCCGGAGAAGAAATTATTTGGACAGCGAGGAACGATTTTACCTGATAATTAAGTTCTCGTGCTTTAGCTCGAGTCATTGGCCGTTGCTGTGCAATAGGTATGGTTGTATCCAAGGAAGGGATGTCCTCATCATCCTTCCCTTCTTGCATTTGAGTCGTCCTCGACTCACATTCATTCTCTTCTCCCAAGTACGGCTTCAAATCTGCAATGTTAAACATGGGGCTAACCCCAAAATCTGCAGGTAACTCAAGTTTGTATGCATTATCATTAATTCGTTCTAACACTTTGAAAGGACCATCTGCTCTAGGCAGCAACTTAGACTTCCTCAAATTAGGAAACCTATCTTTTCTCAAATGTAACCAAACTAGATCACCAGGTTCAAAAATGACATGTTTCTTTCCTTTACTACCAGCAAGTTTATATTTTGCATTCATGCACTCTATATTCTCCTTAGTGGTCTCATGTAGTTTTAAAATCAGTTCAGCACGTTTATTTGCATCAACATTGACCCTCTCCGAGGTTGGAAGGGGTAAAAGATCAATAGGAGCACGAGGCAAAAACCCATAAACAATCTCAAAAGGGCATTTCTTAGTAGTAGAATACTGTGAACAATTATAAGCAAACTCAACATGAGGTAAGCACTCTTCCCACAATTTTATGTTCTTCAAAACAGCCCTAAGCATGGTTGATAAAGTTCTATTTACAACCTCAGTTTGCCCATCCGTTTAGGGATGACAAGTGGTGGAAAATAAAAGCTTAGTCCCCAACTTAGCCTACAAAGTCCTCCAAAAATGGCTAAGAAACTTTGCATCACGATCAGAAACAATGGTGTTTGGTACACCATGCAAGCGGACGATCTCACGAAAGAACAAGTCAGCCACATGTGTAGCATCATCACTCTTATGACATGGTATAAAATGAGCCATCTTAGAAAATCTATCCACCACAACAAAGACACTATCTCTCCCTTTTTTTGTTCTAGGCAGCCCTAAAACAAAGTCTATAGAAATATCCTCCCAAGACGCACTAGGAATAGGTAGAGGCATATACAAACCATGAGGATTAAGGCATGACTTAGCTTTTTGGCATGTTGTGCAGCGAACAATGAACCTTTCCATGTCTCTCCTCATCTTGGGCCAAAAGAAATGATCAGCAAGGATGTCCTCTGTTTTCTTCACACCAAAATGTCCCATCAGCCCTCCTCCATGCGCTTCCTGCAATAATAACAAACGCACAGAGCTAGCTGGAATGCATAGCTTGTTAGCTCTAAAGATAAACCCGTCGGTGAGGACAAATCTGTTCCATGTTTTCCCCTCTTGGCAATTCAGCAATACATCTTTGAAATCATTATCATGTGCATATTGTTCCTTAATAGTTTCCAAACCAAAGATTTTAAAGTCAAGTTGTGAAAGCATGGTGTAACGTCTAGACAAAGCATCAACAATTATATTTTCCTTCCCCTTTTTGTGTTTGATGACATAAGGAAAAGACTCGATGAATTCAACCCACTTGGCATGTCTACGGTTCAGTTTTACTTGACTACGAATGTGTTTCAAAGATTCATAATCAGAATGTATGACAAGCTCTTTGGGCCATAAATAATGCTGCCATATTTCAAAAGTCCGAACTAGAGCAAGCAATTCCTTATCATAAATAGAATAGTTCAAACTAGGGACACTCAACTTTTCACTGAAATACGCCACAGGTTTTCCCTCTTGTAACAACACACCACCCAACCCAATCCCACTAGCATCACATTCAAGCTCAAAGGTTTTGTTGAAATCAGGAAGTTGGAGTAAAGGTGCGTGTGTTAACTTATCTTTTAGCGTGTCGAATGCATTCCTGTGTGCTGTAGCCCAAGTGAATGCCACACCCTTCTTGGTGAGCTCATGTAGCGGGGCTGCAATGGTGCTAAAGTCCCTCACAAAGCGGCGATAGAACCCAGCAAGTCCTAGAAAACTTCTTATTTGTGTGATCGTAGTGGGAACTGGCCAGCTATGAATTGCCTCGACCTTGGCTTGATCAACTTCAATACCCTGCGGGGTCACAACATAGCCAAGGAAAGAGACTCGATCTGTGCAAAACGTGCACTTCTCAAGATTACCAAATAATTGAGCATTACGTAAAGCATAAAAAATAGCACGTAAATGATCAAGATGTTCCTCCAAAGTTTTGCTATATATCAGAATGTCATCAAAGTATACCACCACAAATCTGCCAATGAAAGCACGTAAAACTTCATTCATTAATCTCATGAAAGTGCTGGGTGCATTAGTGAGGCCAAAAGACATGACTAGCCACTCATATAGACCGGACTTGGTTTTAAATGTTGTTTTCCATTCATCTCCTAACTTCATGTGAATCTGGTGGTAACCACTACGCAAATCAATTTTAGAGAACACAATTGAGCCGCTCAATTCATCAAGCATATCATCTAGTCTAGGAATCGGATGACGATATCTAATTATGATATTATTAATCGCTCTACAATCCACACACATGCGCCAGGATCCATCTTTCTTAGGAACTAAAAGTACAGGAATAGTGCAAGGGCTAAGAGACTCACGCACATAACCTTTGTCAAGCAATTCTTGCACTTGGCGCTGTATCTCTTTAGTTTCCTCCGGGTTGGTCCTATAAGGAGCATGATTTGGCAAGGAGGCCCTAGGAATGAGGTCAATTTGGTGCTCAATTCCCTGAATTGGTGGCAGTCCCGGTGGTACCTCATTTGGGAAAACATCAGCGTACTCCTGCAAAAGGTTAGTGATAGCAGGAGGCAAAGAAATAGGAGTATCCTCAAGTGAAAACAAAGTTTCTTTGCAAACCAAAGCATAGCATATAGTAGTGCAAGTATCAATCTCTTCCAGATCAGATTTGGTAGCAAGAAAACAGGAACCCTTCAACTTAATCTCATTTTTCTTATCATGAACAGATTTAGTGTTTCTCTTTTTATGTTGCTCAAGTTCCTTAGCCACAATCTGATTTTCACTCTTAACATGCTCCTTAGTGTTCAACTTTCTAGCTCTAGCAATTTCATCTTTCATAATATCCCGAGGAGACAGAATGTAACACAAGCTTCTTTCCATTATGCACAAAAGAATATTGATTGGTTCTACCATGATGCATAGAGTCTGTATCAAACTGCCATGGTCTACCTAACAACATAGAACATGCTTGCATAGGTACAACATCACAGTAAATGGAATCATGATAAGAGCCGATTACAAAATTGACTCGTACCAACCGTGTTACCTTTACATTGCTGCTGTTGTTTTACCACTGAATGTTGTAAGGTTGGGGGTGCGGTCGGGTATCCAGAGCTTCTCCACCATCTCTAAGCTTGCCAAGTTGTTGCAGCTCCCTCCATCAATGATCACACGACATGAACGCTCCTATACCACACACTTTGTTTGGAACAAGGTGTGGCGCTGATTCTGTTCAGCCTTCTCCATTTGTGCACTCAACACTCGTTGCACAATGAGGCACTCAACGATCTGCATGTTCAACTCCAATGTGTTCTTCAACTGGATTCTCATCTCCACCTGTTTGGTCAGCGGCAAGCAAAGCATATGTTTCATCATCCAAATCACTAGCAGAGGAATATTCACCATCATGTCGCACGATCAGAACGTGCTTGCTTGGGCAGTCTCGTCTCACATGTCCATAACCCTTGCATTGCAAGCACTGAATATCTCTAGTTCTTCCCGTAGAAGCAATGGAAGAAGAACTCTTGGCTGTTGGAGCTGTTGTACCATTTGTTGGTTCGGCCGGGCACGCTGATGAATTTGATGGAGAAGGGCGTTGTTTGTTGTTTGAAGGAGATGGAGCAACTACTCGTGTCGACGGTGCAGTAGCAGGTTTTGGTGTCCAAGAGTTAGCACGACCTACAGAAAAGTTAGTCCTCGTGCTAGCTCGACGTCCCTGCACTTCCCGTTCAGCCTTACAAGCAAGATGAAATAAACGATCGATTGAATTATATTCCTTGTAATCTAAAATGTCCTGAATTTCTCGGTTCAAACCACCTACAAATTTAGCCATTGCTGCATCCTCGGTTTCTACCAAACCACAACGAAGCATACTAGTTTGCAATTCCTGATAATATTCCTCTACAGATTTATTCCCTTGCCTAAATTGCTGCAACCTATGTAACAAATCACGTGCATGATATGAAGGAACAAATCTTGCTCTCATGACCCTTTTCAAAGCATCCC